ATCGGAGATGGAAGGGAAGAACATACCTGCGGCGGATGCTGCCGGCGGGAAGGTGTGTGGCGGCACCGGCGAGGAAGAAACGGAGCAGGGGTGGGGGGAATCGTAGAAACGGAATGGGAAACCCGGATATAAGCGGGGGAATGGAAAAAGGCTGAAACGGGTAATCCAAAACCTAAAAAAAGGGAAAGGGAATGCATTTTTTTAAAAAACAAACCACAACAAAGGGAATGAGGGAATTTCATTCCGTTTCCCCATTCCCTTACCCCCGAACCAAACGCCCCCTAAGTGTTAAGTCATGCCACAACCCACATCGACATACTCTAAAAATATAAACCAACATTTAAGGCATTTGAGCCACCTTTTAAGATTAAAACATGAAATACTATGGCCATTTTGCTTAATATATTCTCAAATGCAATGCATATGGTCTGTTGACAAAGCAGGCCATGTTGAAGGGCACAAATGTGGTTTTTGATGCATTCCCAGGAGCCACTGAGAGTAAGTCAGTTTCTTTCAAGTGTTGTTTCACCCCTGAGCTAATTCAGAAGAAAAGAAAATCATATTGAGATTATTGACACACGACATATATTTTCATGCAGGGTTCCTAAATAGCCCCTCCGCCATGTTTGAAATGTTACTACACATATACAAGATTGTTTTAAGTCCTATGATACGTCCGTTCATCTCATGGTACGTCAAGCTGATGAGACTCACTGCTGCCTTTCTAAGCCTCGCGTTCAAATTAGTGCAACTAGTGATGAAGAATTTCAACAAGTAGTGGAAGAAATCAACAACTTTTGGAGTTCTCTCCATCTCTTATTTTACTAATCATATATGACACAAAACAGTCTATGTTTCATTCAAGATGCATGAAACAAAAGGTCACCTCTCATGATCGGTCATCGTTTCCGTCCCTTGGTTGCAACAATGAAAGAACAACCAGAGGTCCCATGAAAGGTGGAATTGGTGGCGGACTGCTAAAGGCAGCGACGGGATCATGATTTTCTTTCCCAATCTGCCCTCTTCCTCCTCCTCCTCCTCCTCTATCATCATTTTCTTGTCTCCTAGGCATCATAGTCCCAACTGTACCAAAAAGATAATACCTTCAAATGATGAACTTTGTAATTTATAACTTCTTTGAACTAATAGAGTGATATATATGCTTGAAAGATTTGTTTGGTGTAAAAGTATACCCCATCTCCCTTTCAGTTGATAAGTGGGTCTAAGTTTCTCCACAGCAAACAACAAACGAGCAGCTTCACGCATACCTAAAACAATAGAGACAATTAGTGTCCATTTACTCACGGGAAACATGTTCTGTTTTTTGAAAAAAAAAACTAGGAAAAATGTTTACTTTCTCTATCTTCTTAATTGACAAAAAAGAAAGACCGAAAAAAACATCTTAACTCTGTCTATTTTCAAAATTCTGGAAAACGAAAAACTGTTCTCCAATTTTAAAGTTTAATACAGACAGTCACCAACTTCAACTATATCTGGGAACATGAATATTAGCACCTTCATCTCAACTATCAGTGTAATGGATTAAATTTATAGTGTTGATTTTTTTTTTAAAAGTTAAACTAATACCCACTACAAAATCGTTAAAAAAATGGTGGCAATTTTGTGCATCAGACGCCCTTCTTCACAACCTCCTTAAGAAGGAATAATGGGATGAAAATTCTAAAACCAGTCATGGTTTCAAGATGCAAGGAAAATGTTAAATGTTTTGAGAGGAGCCACCGGTGTGAAAGATTTGCAAACACAGAACATAAAAATGAAACACTTACAAATTTCAGCAAGGTAGTGTTTGGCAACTAGCATTTCATTTTAATTCATGCATTTAAATTCCAAATTTTGAAATCTTGAATTTCAAATGACAAGGAGATGTGCATGGATTTCAAATTAAGCTTTGTTATGAATGTGAAGAATTTGACCCAAATCCAAATTCAAATATTTTAAGTTTCCCCAACATGAAATTTGAGCCAAATCCGGATTTGAAATCCAAATCCATGTTCCCAAACATACCATAAAGTTAATTGATAGAATACATTCTATAAACAATCCTTTATAACAAGTGATCACAAGGGGGTACTTTGTGGACTACATGTGGGTAAAAAATATTTGGTTATTTTTCACCCAAAGAACTCATTATAAATAGTTCTCAAATATAGAATATCACAAATATAATATGGAGTACTCCCTTTGTCCAAAAATATTTTCCCATTTTCGTTGCACTAGTTCAATGAAGTTATTTTCAATTCAATTTATTTGAATATAAGTCTAAAATTCAAAAATAAAATTTATATATATAAAAACTATATAAGCATAAAATTTTACAAAAAATAGTGACATGATTATATTATATTATACTCCCTCCGTCCCGCTATATTCGTCCACTTTTGACTTTAGGAACTGTTCATCTAAGCACTTTGACTCATCAAATTCTCTCAATGTGTAAGCCTAAATATAGTCATGTGTGATCTTGTTTGATTTGTCTTAACATATAGATTATTAATATATAATTTCCATAATTTTTTAATATACAAATTACAAGATAAAATGGATTAAAGAAGTGTATTGGATGGTGTGTAAAAATGAAAGTGGACAAATACTTTAGGACGGAGGTAGTAAAATTATAAAATGAATAGTGAATTTACTCTATTAATATCCTTAAACATAGCTGTTTTTTTCTTTCAAATTACTATGTTTTTTAAGATAAATATAACCCTCTTAACTCGTTTGTGATACTGGTTTTAAATCTATAATCATGTAATTTATCACCCAAATTATCGAAAGAAGATCAAGATTCAATACCGGAAACATCCCAAACAAATAATGTAAAAACTACTGAGATAATCTGATCTGCCCGAATTAAAAACAAAAAAAAAAAAAAAGAGATAGAAAAAGAACGGCGCACCTGGCGATCATAATTGTGGATCTTCTTCCTCTCCGTTGTGAAAAATTAAAGCGACCGTTGATGAGGGAAAAAAAAAAGAAGGTAAAACGACCTCGTAGAAGGACTAGAAATTTCGTGAAGATCCTAGCTTAGTGGATCGGGCCCGCCCATATCCTGAATAATCTAATTTTTTTTGGATCGGATGGGCCTCCTTC